GGAACTATAGAAATTTTGCTGAGTGTATATATATATATATATATATATATATATATATATATATATATATATATATATATATATATATATATATATATATATATGTATATATATATATATGTGTGTATATATATATATATATATATATATATATATATATATATATATATATATATATATATATATATATATATGTATATATATATATATATATATATATATATATATATATATATCAGCCCTCATAATAAGGGTTGGCAATCGGCAATGCCAAACTAACTGCCGACCTGAAAGTGTTTAAGGTCTGCAGAAAATTGCCAACCTCGTTTCTATGTTTTATGGCTAGACCCTTGTATGAAATAATTTTTGCTGACTTCTAAAAGATTGAGGTCGAAAAATTATTGCCGACCTCATTTTTCCTAAATCCGAGAGTTGATATATATATTTGTGTTCTGTCGTGACCTCAGGCGCGTTGCTTGTTCACCCATGAGTTACCTTGTATGCATGTTGTGTTTAGTAACCAGAAACTTCTTGTGTGTTTATTTTATAATTAGTTTTATTAACTTTGATGATTATTAATAATTTCATTGAAAACGCAATTATTGCTAAAAGTCTTTTTGTCTACAAAATAAATCGTAAAAGTTGTTTTAAAAGATTACATTAGAATAAAAAACAGATACACAAAGTTACATTTATATAAAAAAATACATTCTTTTTAAATAAAAAATAAGAAAATACTTAAAAAATCTTCAATATGTAATAAACTTTTAAAACTTTGACAATTTAAAAAATATTTATTTAAAACATTTATTTTTGTAAACAAATAATAATAGTTTAAAAGTTTTATGGCTTTGCTAATGTGGCTCCGAAAATGAGTCATAGTATAAAATAATAGTTCGTTTGAAAATATATTCTTAAGTCAATTAACAAACTTAACAAATCCCAAATAATAAAATTTTAAAAACATTTTAACAAAATACTTTAGAACTTTATTTCACTTAGTCATTGTAGTTTTTGAACCAATAGAATTAGTTTGCTTGTAATTTGGCGGGTTTTTAGTGTTCGTGAATATTCTTTTTATTCTTCTGCACCAAGAACATTAAAGATTGTATATGTTTCCATGTATGTCCATAAAACAAAAAATTTTTAAATTCACGTAAAAAAAATTAACTTCATGATTCTTTTGCGCTCAAACATGGAAACATACATAAACTTAAATGTTCTCAAAATGACTAAAAAATCTAGCCAGTTTTTCGCAACTAAATATTATTTCCATGGTCAGTAATCGAGAGTGATCGCTCCAACTATCGGACCAAGCCTGTACTAGTGATCCCTACTAAAAATCTAGTTTAATTTATAAACTCTATTTAAATAAGTATTGAATCACCTTTCTTTTATGTATAAGAATGGCTACCAAAACCTTTTATTTAAAACGCATAAGTTATTCTTAGTTACACAAAGTGCATTTTTATTCACAGATTTTCCTGGATATTTTAAAAAATATCTTTTGGATTTTTTCCTGATATTGTTTGGATAAAATTTATGGATTTTTAAAATGATTAGGATAACCTCTGGTGTTTGTGTTCTCTTTGTAATCTTAAACCTAGATGTTGAGTTGCTGCTAAGTGTGTTTATTTAAATTTTTATTAACATTGATGATCATTTTAAAAATTTCATTAAAAAAGCAATTGTTTTCTAAAGTCTTTTTTATAAAAACAATCATAAAAATTGTTTTAAAAATTTAAATTTAACACAAAAGTTCATACTTTTCAAGTCTTCCCAAGAAACTTGCTGTATTTTGTCTTTTATGCCCACGCATGAGATTTTACATTTAGACAATTTGGTCACGGCTGTTAGCAAGTTTTTTTTAAATTAAACGTTGCAGAAAAAACTTCAAAAAAGTTTGTTGCAAAAAAGTTTCAAAAACAAAGAAAGCATAACTAACAAAGTAGGATGTTAATATAAATTTGAATTAAAAAAAAACAATAAAAATGTTAATTTAAAAAATTTATGTACTGTTTAATATGGTAAGGCAAAGCAATAATACAGCTTAAATTTGACATTTAAAAAAAAAAATGTTTTTTTTTTTTTTAAAAGGAAAACGAAAATATAAATTGTTTTTAAAATATATCTGTATAATTTTAATGTAACAAGTATAAATTTTTTTTTAATTTTTGATGACAAATTTTTATGTTGAAAATGTCTATGTATATATATACTTTTATATATAAATGTATTTTAAATTATATTTATTTGTTTATAAGTACACACACGTTTAGCTTATTTGGATAAGGCGTATACTTCATACATGGAATGTCAGTGGTTCAGATCTCACTACTGTCTATTTTTAATTATTGTTTTTCTTTTAAATAATGCTGGTCATTTATTTGCTATGTAGTAATTTATCTTTTCTTTTTTCTATATAAAAATCTTTTTGTTGTATTTTTTTGAATGAGACACATCTTTTTACATTCATATTTCTTATAGCATTCAAACCTTTCAGTGTATTTTCTAATTATGGCGCAAGCACATATATGCATAGTTTTTAAGCTTTAATTAGGCCATGTCGTCTATACATTTTTCGCATAGCCTTAGTTGTTTCATATTACCTTTCTATTTTTGTTTGTTTTTTATCCCCAATCTTTGTAGTTTTAGATAACTGTTGTTTTTTAACATTTGGCTCTGTGTTTAGTTTCACTTGCCCACTCCCTTTTGGTCTACTATGTTATTGATGAACTTTTATGGACAATTATCATTTGTTATGCAACTAATAATTGTTAATGTTAATAATTGCTTACATATATTTCACCAATAACATAAATAGACCAAAAGTGAGGAGTGAGTATAAAACAAAAAAAGTTTAGAAAAAGTGGATTTCAAACCACGGACATTCCATGTATGAAGTAAACACCTTATCCAAATAAGCTATACCTGTGTATATCTGTGTATACTTATGAACAAATAAATATAATTATATAATAAAAATATTTATATATAAAAGTATATGCATACATTTCATAGACATTTTTATTTAGGGACAATATATATTTGTTACATTAAAATTATACAAATATAAAATTATACAAATATATTTTACAAATAGATAGTATTTTATATTTTCGCTAAACTATTAAAAAATTATTAAAAAACAATCGCTAATCACTTTTGTGAATCTTTTTATTTTACCTTTTTTTTTTTCTTGTATGTTTTCTTGCAAATTCCACATGAATAAGTAATTTATAAAAAGGTTTACATGGTCTCACATGTTTTTTTTCCAATAAGATTATTTAAAAAGTATGTAGTAATACAATTGACTTCTTAGTATTGAATAAACAGTTTATATAGTATCTGTGAATTCCAGTATTCTACTAACAAGAGTTAGCGTTATTAACATTAGCATATAGTTAGCATTATTAACTAATTAACATTAGTAGATTTTGAAATAATTTTTTAAAATCACTTTAAAAACTATTATAATAATGTTACACATTTTCTTGCTCATTAAAATGAGCAAAAAATAAAATGTGTAATAACCTTCACACATTTTATATCTTTTAAAAGTATTTAACCTATCCTCTAGTTTAAAGTAACTCATAACTTAATAGTGGTTGTTTGCAACCTTGTTGGAAGTAAATTAGAGTTTAAAAATATATAAATATATGCCAGTTTTTAATAAATAGTAAATGTAAGTATAAAATTATAATATATTAAGTATTATAAATTATTTTCTAAGGGTTAATAGCTCCAGCTATTAACCCCTGCTAAAAAAAAGTATTATAAATTATTTTCTAGGGGTTAATAGCTCCAGCTATATACTTATTATACTTTTTTTTAGCAGGGGTTAATAGCCATAGCTCCAGCTATTAACCCCTGCTAAAAAAAAGTATTATAAATTATTTTCTAGAGGTTAATAGCTCCAGCTATTAACCCCTGCTAAAAAAAAGTATTATAAATTATTTTCTAGGGGTTAATAGATCCAGCTATTAACCCCCTGCTAAATCTTATGATTTTTTTCTTTCTTAAACTTCAAAGATTGAAGTTCTTCTTTTATTATTATTTTAAATTATTGTATAAAAGAACATTATCTCAACTTTACATTGAAATGTTACAAGTTTTGATATTTTATTACATGGAATTTTAGGCATTTCATAGTAAAAATTCTAGTTTAGCGAAGTTTTTTGTCAAATGATCCCTAAATAACTGTACGAGTTGGCAAAGAGTTCGACTTAACCAGGGTACAATTAAGCCGATAATATGATAAAGTTCAACCTGAATTTAACAAGAAAAACATGCTGAATTTAGCCTTCAAATAAAAGAAATAAATCATTTTTAACTTGAACTTATGCTGCATAAATTAAAATTAAAATACGTTACGCATAAATTATGAGTGACTTACTTTATAATGAATATAACTTCTTTGTTTAAAAATATGCAAACTCTACTGTTTAAACATATATTGTCTTCAGCAATAAAAAATTTTACTAAAATTATTTTCTATAAAATCAACTTATAATTTTCTGCCTCACAAGATAATTAGACGAGCGCAATTATTTACTCTTGTAACAAAACTAGTGAGTGCTATATGTTGTACCTTGAAGGCCATTTACAGGCGTGTTTTATGTGCACAGAGCGATCGCTCCCGCTTTATCGCAAGGCCCTTATGTAGATATATATACATATATATAAAAATATATCTATAAAGGTTCACCTCCTTAAGGCCGAGAAGGCAACTACAGGTGAGGAGGTTACTTAATAGTGGTTATAACCCTCTCTCAACTCTATAACTCAGAAACACAAGCCTTGACAAACAATGCTGCTGCACGGAGAAACAAGTTGAATATAGATATATCTATGTATTTTTTTATAGTGTATATATATTAGCTAAGCAATAGGACAATATACTGAAATAAAGAGCTGTGAAAACTTCAATACATCCAAACACTTCTTCAGAATAAGAAAAAAAGAGTTCTAATTATAAATGTTTTTTTATATTTTTAAAGGGAATGCAATGTGCTTTTCGTCATCAACCAGCTGCAAAAAATACTGAAATTGTTTGTCCTGATTGGCTAGGAGGTGCATGCTTTAAACAAACATGTTTATTGCGTCATATGCTAATGCCAAATGCACGAGTTCAAATTCAATGCAGGTGGGATACAATGCCCTCTGGTTGCTTGGATTCTGGTTGTACATATGCTCATATCAACAAAAATATTATTATCCCTGGAACAAGCCCTATTGAAGTCAAAAGTTCATCTTCATCAAATGTAAGACAACCTTTACTTTCATCACCATTGGCACGCACTAGTGTGTTAAAGTTCTCAAATGAAATACCAAATTTACAATCTAACAATTCAATCAGTCAAATGGTGAATGTAATGGTAATATTTTTTTTTACTTAAACTAAATGTGATTTGATTTTTGTTTACAAAATGTTTTTAATTCTTCGGTTTCAATTTAGTTAATAGAAAATAAATGGTAGATTTTATAAAGTGTTTTATTAATGTTTCTTAGTTATTTAATTTTATTAAATTATTTCATGTTTGAGTTTCAATAATCTTTAACTTTGATCTGCTTTGATATGTCTTGAAATCTCAAACACTAATGCTACAACAAAACCTTCTCTTAAATCATTAGACCTATTAAGTCTTAATTTTGCATCAAAATTATTTTATTAAAATTAAGGCCCAACACATTTTGTAAATTAGTTTTGGTCTTGTATTACTTTCATGCTTATGTAACAAGAAAAATCGTGTATTTTATTTTGCGATAAAATGAAGTTACATCAAATTTAGACATATGATTAGAAAGAGATTTAAATATAATTTAATTTTGCTGATGATGTTTCTAAACTTTTTTCGTGAACATCTTATTATGTGGGTGCATGTTGGCAAGTAATTAATAGTTTTTCTTTTAAAGTTTTGGAGCTCATCAGGCTTATCTAAAGATCAACTTTTTTCGTGAACATCTTATTATGTGGGTGTATGTTGGCATGTAATTTTAAAGTTTTGGAGCTCATCAGGCTTGATGAGCTCCAAAGAAATGATGAAAAATTTGGGTTTTGAAAAATGTTTGGATATAGATTGGAAAAACCATATACTAAATTTTCATAAAAACATTTGAAAATAGTCTTATTGTATACAATATGCTTTGTTGACAAATTATTGTATATGATGTAGACTATTAACTTCTTTACTTCGCTTATTTAGATAAGTTTCATTTTAATGGTGAAAATCTTTTATTCTTAAATAATATAATTTTTTTATTATTATTTTAATGAAAAATATTTAATAAACTATTTCAATAATTATATAATAATATTTATTGTATTTTACGAAGAACGTTTTTTCTTTCAACTGTACTTTATCTTTTTTTTTTATTTTTCTTTATTTCAAATCTTTTTATTTATTTTCTCCTGAGTTCTCCTGAGCTGCAAATTGCAATGAATGAATGATGTATAGAGAAAATTATAATTGCTGATAGGCTGTTTTTTTCTATAATAGAAATCTTTTAAAAGGTTATTTAGTTAAAAATCTTGTTTTATGTAACAATAATTTTTATTATAGTGTTTCACAAAATGATTGAGTTTTAGTATTAAATAATCAGTTTAAATAGTATTTGCACAGGAGAGTTAACAACATTAATATTAAGTAATTAACCTTGTGAGTTTTTAAAAATGATTTTAATAAACAGAAAAATAAAATGCGCAACCATTTTCTTCTTTAATGTCGTTAACTTGATGTTAATGTTTTATAATTATTTGAAATTATTGTATATAACTAAGAACATATCTCTCCTCCAACTGTACTTTGTTTTTTTTTATTCAATATTTTCATTTATTTTTCTCATAGCTTTTCCCACTATTTGCGCGTAGTCCTTGCAATGAATGAATAGTTTTTTAATAAATTATAATCAAGTTAAATAAAGTTACGCGTTGCCACACTTTTTTTTTCTATTGTAATCATTAAACTTCAACTCTTCAAAATGACGGTGAAAAAAAGAGACAAAAAACAATTTCATTTTTAACACTAGCAGGATCGGAGTTAAAACCACTTATCGGAGTTAAAACCACTTATTGAAATAACTATTCAATAGAAATTATATTAAAAATTATTCAAGTAAAAAAATTGTTTTGTGTAACTTATTGTTATAGAAGCATTTCATAAAACAATTATGGGTTTTTAGTTTCAGTTAACATTTTTTTTAACAAAAAAAAAAAAATAATTTAAATATTTAAAAAATATTCATTGATAAATTTTTATGAACAATGTTAAATTTTGTTTTAAATATAATGCAAATTTAAGCGCCAAGAATTTTTTAAAACTTTATATTAGCAGTTTTAAAGGCTAAACAGTCGTTTATATTAGCAGTTTATATTAAACTTTATATTAGCAGTTTTAAAGGCTAAACAGTCAATCATTTTTTATTTTACAAAGTTCATTCACAAAGAACTAATACTAAGATAAAAATTTAAACAATAAAAATAAAATGAAATTTTTGAACATACAAAAAAAAACAATTGATCATCAATTCCATTTGTTTGCTGGTCGAATTGACCACTTACCTTTAATTACTTATTTTCCACGCTAATGATAATGACAACTTATGACAAGAAAAACTTGTTTCTCCTTGCAGCTGCCTTGTTTATCAAGGTTCCTTATTCAAAGTTAAAGATGTTTCTGATAATTCAATTATAAAAATCTTTACATATTGCCAACAGTACTAAAGTATTAGAATAAGGAGGGCTTTTACTAACATAATTTAATTAGCCATCTGTATTCAAGTTCATTACTTATTCTTGCAACTTGCACATCAAAAATTTATGGAAATTTCTAACTATTAAGCTTTATTTATTTGTTATTAAGTTTTTTATTTGATTTATGATTTAACTTTTTTAGCTATTATTGAATTATAGCAGAATAAATAATAATAAATATATGAATTATTGTTTTTAAAATACAAATTATTGAATATATATATATATGAAACATATTGGTTTATAATTAATAGTATCATAAAAATTATATTGTTTTAAGAAGTATACTTAAGTTATAAAATAGAAAAGAACCAAAACCAAAGAAGATTAATAATTAAAAAATAATAATATAAAGTCTCCTTAAATATGACTTATGACTCTAATAAAAGAGCTCCTTAAAAGATATGTTTGGTCTATTCAGATAATGTTAGCATGATTAAATTTACATAATGTGATTTCGCTAAAAAAAATTTATGATCCTAATAAACTTGTATGTTTTTATGTATTCATTTATATAATGTTGTTCTAATGCCTTCTTCAACTTAAATATTTTTATTATGCATAAACTCATAATGGGGGGGGGGGGGGGGTTGTGCTGCTATAACTTAAGATAAATCGTTGATTTTTTTGTTTGTTTTCTGTTTAATTTACTTTTTAAAATGATATTAATTTTTTTTAAAATATGTAAATTTTAAAATTATAATTCTTAGCCACAAGCAAACATCGTTGAAGCGTTACCTGGCCCGATTTTGAATCCTCCTGGTGTCATCAATGTTGCACCACCAATAATACCTCTGCAACAATCTCTTATTCTTAATGTACCTCGGCCGCATTTGCATTCATCAATTCTAGGTTGATTTTTTTTTATATAGTGTGGCAAAGTGTTGCCAAGTACATTTTATTTTTAAATAAGTTTATTTTGCATAATATTTAGGCCCTCCACCTGTTTTGGCAAATTCATCTGTTTTTCCGAGAAATGGTAAGTTTCTCAATTAACCAATGTGGGTACAAAATATAGTTACATGAAAAATGTGGTTGCATAATTGGTTTTTACTTTTAGTTTTCAAAGATGTATAATTTTTTATTGAATTAGTCTATAAAAAATTTAGTATATTTCATAATTTTGGTCAACTTTTCACATTCTTGACAAAAATTCAAAGATTTTAAATATTGATGCGTAGCATTAAGCAGTTTTCACACTAGAACTGTGTTTTCATTAGAACTGTGTTTATTTTTACACTAGAACTTTGTTTATTTTTACATTAAAACTGTGTTTATTTTTACACTAGAACTGTGTTTATTTTTACATTAGAATGGTGTTTATTTTTATACTTAAAAAGTATTTGTTTTCACACTGAAAACAATCTGAGTTGATTTTAACACTAGAATAGTCTTCATTTTCACTTTGCTATGTGTACGGATGTTGTGTGTTAATAAATATTTTAATTAAAGGTAAAAACAATTTAGAACAAAAAATAATTTTATTGTTCTATTTATTGTGAAGATCAACCTAGTTTCCACTGCATGTTTTTTGAATAGTTTTATTGAAAGGAAAAAAAGTTACATTTTGTTTCTTTACAAATTTGTTTCTTGAGTATCATTATTTTGTAATTTAACATTTAATAACTTTGCATATTTTAACCACAACTCTGCATAATTCAACTATAACTCTGTTCTTTGCATTAAGTAGTAGTGATGTCATAGTACTTGTTTTGTAAGTGAAAAGTTCACAGTTCAATTCTCAGCACGTACTTGGTACTCAACTTGTTTCTCCATCTGACAGTTAGTCAAGGTTTCGGTATTGAAGGGTTGAGAGATTAAAAAATAAAAAAGGGTAGTCAATTTGTTAACCTTAAGCTGTTTTTGTTTCTGAAAAACTCAAACAAATTAATTTTTTTTTTTAAATTTTGAATTACTTTTTAGATTTTCAACAGCAAGTTCAATTGTTTAAAGATCTTCTAGCGCAGAAAAATAAAACATGTGAGATAGTAGTGTTTGCTATATAAATAATATTATATAACTTCCTTTTTATGTATAAAGTTACATTTTTCATATATAAAATAATTTAATTAATTTTTTATATATATACAACTAAATTTTTTTGTTTGTTTCTAATGAGATCCTAAAATGCTAAGACAAGTTTTCTTAAATAAACATTACAAAAAAGTAAATTTATTTAACTCCAAACTTATTTTCGAAGGTTTAAGATAAATTTTAAGGTTTAAAGCACTTTTGGATCCTTTTAAGTAAATTAATTTTTTATTTTTACTTTACAAAATATGATCTATTTTTACAAAATTAATCAGTGTTTGTTTTTATAGATGATAGTGAAGAACTTGAAAATGGAAAGAGAGATAAATACAAAGAAAAATTTCGACACAAAAAAGAAAAAAAAAATGGTTTGTTATTTTTAAAGAACTTCAGAAAAATGTGTTTTCCTTGAATTATTTAAAAGTAATTATTTTACTTTTCAATAAACTTTTTAGTTCGCAAGTTTTCTAAAGACTCTAAAAAGAAGATAAAGTTGAGTAAAGTTGATGAAGGTCTGCTTATAAATTCACTCTAAATGTGTTCACTAGTGCTGAGTCAAGTTGTATTCTTATACTAAATAAACCTTAGCAAAAAAGATTTGAGTTAATTAAAGATGTCAAAGCATTTTCTATAGTGAGACATAAACAAAAAAAATTCATTCTTTGCAATGATATATTGATTTTCACTATGGAAATTTCTAACTTCTTGATTTTTTCTTTAAAAAAAACCAAATTAATTTATTTAACCTTTGCAAGATATATTAACATCACAATAAATATAAAAGAAATAAAACATTTTGATAAATAAAAAGGCAAAAAAAAATATTTAAATAGAATCTCATTGTTTTAATAAAATAAATAAGATACATCATATATAATTATAAATATAAATTATTAATATAAATTAGGTGACTAACATCTTCATATAGAAGAATATTATAATACCTGTATCTTAAGTTCATTAAGTACCTTAAAAGTCTTATTTATATTTATTTATTTATATTTATTTTATTTTAAATGCAAAACAGTTATAAGTATTGTAAAAATCTAATCTAGGAAAGATATTTAGGTTTTTAAAATGTTAAAAATATTTTGGTCTAATAAATTCTAAAAACTAAATAATTTTTGATTTTAATTAAAAAATTACAAATAAGTTTTATATATATATATAAAAATTACAAATAAGTTTTATACATCAATAAAATAATAATCACACATCAATAAAACCAGATATTTTTATAGCAAAAAAATATGCACAGAATAAAACATCTTAATGTTAGGGTTTAAAAAAAGAATAAAGCTAAAATACAGAACATTTGTTTTGTTAATATCTTGTATAGTAATTTTTTTTAGTTTATTAACTTAAAATATGTTTTCTAATGTTTATAAAATAATTAAAACTTGTCTTAGCACATACTTTCAATTGAAGATAATTGTTTTTATATTTAGAAATACTTTTTGGAGACTACAAAGACGTTCCATTAGAGAAGAAAAAAAAAAAAGAACAAAGTGATTCTATACAAAATATTAATATTAAAAGTTATGAAGAAATACTTAGAGAAAAAGTTTTTAGAAAAACTATGGAGAAAAGAAGAGAATTTGCAGAGGATTTCAAAGAGTTAACTTCTGATGAGAGAGACAAAAATAAACTTGAGAAATACAATAATAAAAAACGAACTAAAGTAGTTTCGAACGTTAGCTTAAATGACAATGAATCTATAAGTAAAGATGATGTTATTGAAGTAGGTATTGATGGATCACCTATTCGCGAAGATTTGCCAAATGGAAACCACGCAAGATCTCCTAAAAAAGAATCTAAAAAAACTGCACCTGAATTTAAAAAAACTGCACCTGAATCTTCTCATGATGAATCTGTTGAAATATATATTCCTGATGAAACTGCTGATATAAATATATCTATAGACGAAAATGACGAGCTTGTAAAGGAATTAAATGAGGCATCACATCAAAGACATACTAGTGTAGCTCGATCAAAAATCACTAATGTGATGCATAAAAATTCAGGGGATAAAGTAGCAAATGTTTCTTCTAAAAAAAATTATTCTTTAGTGACTGATGTTGTGAACAAACGAAAAGTAATCAGACTGGATAAAGACGATAAATCTCCTGTTTTAAATAATAAAGAAGACACTCTTAAATCTGATATTAAAATTAAAACATTCGAAGAAATTATGCAAGAAAAGCGTAAGCGTAAAAATATGTCCAGTGAACCAGAAATTAATGCAGTGAAAAAGATATTAGATCCTTTGCATATTAAATCTGTCAAAGCAAAAACGGAACTGCGAAGGAGTATTGTAGGTACAAGAGATAACAAAGACATAGATTCAAAAAAAGAGACCAAAGATGTTTTTAAAGTAAGAAGCACTTTAGGACTGACCAGTATTTCTAAAAAAAATGTGGAAACTAATTTAAAAGGTTAGTGTTAGTTAAGTTAGCAATACATTGCTATATCATAAATGTTTGTGAATATTTATATGTTGTTTTTCTTCATTATTTATGTCAACAAATGTATTTTGCACACCCTATGTTTAAAAATGCTATATATATAAAAAACTTATTTAAAAAAAAAATAGTCAATAAACTTCATTTTTAATTAGTTCATTTTTTACTTTGTTAAATCTAACATATTTGTTTTTATAAATTATCATTTTTGATTATATATAAAAATAAATATGTTAGATTATATATATATATATATATATATATATATATATATATATATATATATATATATATATATATATATATATATATATATATATATATATATATATATATATATATATATATATATATATATATATATATATATATATATATATACCAAAGAGTGTGGTTGCACTTGTCAGGTAACAAGTTTTTTTTTAAAAGCCTGAACTTGGCTTTTTAATGTTTCAAAAATGCGCTGAAAAAAAACCCAACAAAAGGAATAAAATTATAATCAAGCTTAACTATAAAAAAAAGGGAGGAAATCTTAACAAAGAAGAAATTTTAAAAAATATATAATTAAAATCTAAAAAAAAAAAAAAGTCAACATTTAAAATTGAAAAACTCAAGAATATTAAAATATGCTTATAATTACGTAAAGGTCAAATAACTGGTGTTTTTATGATATTAGGCAAACTCAAAATTAAATCATTCATAAAATTGTATTCATACATATTCATAAATGCAAAAAATTTTAAATTGAATATAATTTTTTGTAATATTCTTGATTCATTTATGTTTAATTTTTATTTTAAAATAATAATTAAAGTTTGTTACTTTTTTTGGAAGCTTTCAAAATTTAAATTAATAATAAGTTTTAAATTTACAACAAATTTAAAACTTATTATTAATTTAAAACAAATTGTTTTAAAACAGTTACATTCATCATCAAAAAAAAAAACAACTTAAAAACTAATAAAAACTTTATTTAATATTTTATGATTATTTGATAGCATAATAAAACTTTATTTAAAAGCATTTAAAGTAGTGTAAAAACATTTTATTAGAAAAGTTTCTAAGCATCATAAAAAATAACTCCCTTGCTTTTGACTAAACTTATGTATTCATCTAAAAAAATGTTGCTCATAAAATTAATTTTATAAATTGTTTTAACAGCATTTACATTCGTTGTAAAAACTTTTTAACTATTTAATATCTTTCAATCATTATAGTACACAATCATAAAAAGTACACAATCATATCAGTACATAATCAATAGTACACAATCATAAAAAGTAAGTTCTCACTTTATTACTCAAGTTCAGAGCATTTTTAAAACGTTTTCAAAAATCTAACAAACTGTATCAAGTTGTCATAATAACAAGTTAAATATGTGGTCAGGAATAGTGTGCGATTGCACGCCTTTTTCATTATAAAATTTAATTTGTTTCATTATAAGCAATCTTCTAAAGTTTTCATATTTAAATTGCTTCTCTTCTTTGTTTCATATACTGCAGCCGTTTTTCAAAGCGCCTTGATATGCTTATTACGTTTTTCAATAGAAAAGCAAAAAATAAAATAAAACGTTTTTGAAACAAAGAATTTTTATGAATTTTTTTAGAACACTTTGAAAATGTGTATTCAATAACGTTTGTAGACATCTAAACTAGCTTATTTTGTAAAAAAGTCAAAATTGATTTTGTTTACCTTAGGTCAAGTCACTAATATTGTTGAAAAAAAGTTATTCAAAAGTATGTCAACCTGGATCTCAAAAGAAGCGTATTTTCATAGAGATTTTAGAAAACATAAATATTTTTTCTTAAAACTTATTAACATAAAAATTATATAAAAAAAAGACTTAAAAAATTTTAACAAAATGTTTCTCAGCAATAATACAAAAATTACTTATTTTTATTACAAATGAATAACATTTTTGAAATCTCTAGAAAATATGCTTCTTTTGAGACCCAGGTTGACATAATTTTGAATAACTTTTTTTTCAACAATATTAGGGACTTGACCTTAACTACTAAAGATTTGAACCCAAATATCTTTACAACTTGACGTGATGGTAAAAAATGAGTTGCATATTTAAAATCAAAGCAAGAAATACTATAAAAAATACTAATTGTTTGCTCGGCACCAGAAAAAAATTGTTTTTTGTTGGCCTGTGATATCTATGTAAATTAAAAAAAAAAATTGTATTTATAAATATTGGTTAATAATTAGTAATATTATAATATTGTTTTACGCAAATATAACATAGATAATACGTTTCATTGCAAGTATTTTTTTTATTATTTTTGTTGTTATTTTCGGTTTACTTTTTTTCGGTTTACCAGTATTAAAAAGTCTTTTATTATAAAAACGTTATTAAATTATTTTTAAGTATAATATTTATTAATATGCAAATTTCTTTGTAACTTTACAAACTTAAGATACACAACAAAAATGTAAATAAAGAGTTTTGAATAATAAAAATTAATTAATAAAATAATTTATTAAACATATTAAAAAATCTTAACTCAAGAATAACTGGCGTCAATAAAAATTTCAAAAAAAGTTTCTTTCAACTTTTGAATGAATGATTTTGTCAATGTTAACGACGCTTGTTGATGACCACACGTTTTTACACATTAAAAAAAAATCAATCAATTTAATTCATTTTCTCATCGTACGTAATAATTGCGTTTTTTACTTGTCTAGAGCAACACTTTAAATCTGAGACTTGTTTTTTTTTTTTTTTTCCTGTAATCTTATGAACCTTTGGAAATTTTAAACTAATTGGGAATATATAGATAGATAGATATCTACTATAGCGTATTAATATAAGCTTGCTCACGTATTAATATAAGCTGTTTTAGAAAAAGAAGGAAAAAAATAAAGAATAATGAATGAAAAGATATCTGTCCCATGCCAAACTCTCATTCAATGTAGCAGCACTCCGCTGAGAGTCAGGTTATTTGTCAGTCCGTGTATGTACTGAATCCCCCTGCAGCAGGCTATTTCAGTATCAGACTGCTCACCTAAATCAGCAATATAAGATATATATATGTGTGTGTGTGTATATATATGTGTATATATATATATATATATATATATATATATATATATATATATATATATATATATATATATCAGGCTTGGTCAGAAAGCGGGTGCGATCGCACTCGATAACTGACCACGGAAATAATATTTAGTTGCAAAAAACCGGCCAGATTTTTTAGTCGTTTTGAGAACATTTAAGTTTTTGTATGTTTTCTTGTTTGTCTGCTAAGTAATAAGTTCATTTTATCATAAATTTTAAAATATTTTTGTTTTACGGACTTACATGGAAACATACATAAAATTGAATGTTATCAAACATCTTAGTATGGAAAAATAAAAAAAGAATATTCGCAAACATAAAAAACCTGTCAAGTCTACAAACAACTATTTCTATTGGTTCAAAAAATACTAACCGAAATTTCTAGAGTATTCAAAAAATACTAACCAAATGTCCTGATTATTCTGTTAAAATATTTTTTAAAAATGTATTATTTGAGTTTTGTTACGTTTTTGTTGAGATTTCTAGCATAAATTTAAAAATATACTATCAAATAAACTATTATTTTAATTCTTAGAGCCACATCTACAAAGCTATAAATGTTTTAAACTAACATTATTTGTTTACAATAATAATAAATAATAAATAATAAATATTTTAAATTTATATTTTTTAACTTGTTAACATTTTGTAAATATATTATAGATTTTATTAGTATATTCTAATTTTTTATATATAAGGGATGTATTTTTTATGTTTGCAATGTATTTTTATATATGTAAAGTATTTTTATGTATGTAATTTTATGTATGTGTATTTTATTCAAATGTAATCTTTTAAAGCAATATGTGCGATTGATTTTGTAAACAAAAATACTTTCAATAATAACTGGGTTTTTAATGAAATTATTAATAATCATCAAAGTTAATACAAATAATTTTAACCACTAATCCATTTTCCTCAGTGTACCCGATAACTGATTCTTTCTCCCAAGAAAGAAAAGTTTTTAAGTTCTTAAAAATTGGTTTACTAACTACAATTATTTTTGCTTCAGCCATTCTTACAAACTCGTTATACTTAGAGTTACTTTTTTCTGTTTTAAATACTAATTAAAATTATAAAGCCCACTTACTAAAACATCATCAGTAGTATGATGAAGCAGTTCCGCTTCCTCCTCACAAAGTAATTTAACATTTTTTTAAATTTCTATCTAGCTAATTGAATTTCTACAGTTACTCAATGATTTTATTATTTCAATTGTTCATCTTACTAAGAAGAATTATTTCAAATGTGTTAAACTTTTTAAACTACACAAAGCATACATTTATTGAAAAAACATTTTAATAAATAAATCATCTTGTTAGACTTTTCAGGGCCGGAGGCTGCATTATTTTGGTGGCCTTTTTTATGTGCTACAGCGTAAAAATGACTAAAAAAAATACAGAATAGTCCTCTTGACTATTTCCCCGAACATTGTGAGTCCCGGGGCTATAGTCCTACTACCCCCACCCCACCTTCTCAATCCAGCACTGGAAATAAGACATAAGTATATAAATAAAATTTATATATACTCTTTGATAAATCAAAGAACATTTGTTTCTTTATAGTTGTTACTTTATATAAAAAATGTCGCTTAATTTTATAAAAAATAAATCATAAAAGACGTTTCAAAAATAATTGCTCTAATACATTTATTTTGCTTAAAGTTTTTTTTGCGTTAAAAGCTATTTTTCTTTTTTTAACTGTCTCTCATCGGTCCAGTTAATCTTATTGCGCTTTTTTATTTGTTTTTGAAATGTTCTCAAAACAACTAAATAATATTTCCGTGGTCAATTATCGAGTGCGATCGCACCCGCTTCCCGACCAAGCCTGATATATATATAATTTTGCAAAAACACTGTATGACTCTTTGTTTTAACTTTTTTCTTATTTTAGATTCTAATGTTGGTACTGTTGGTGTGGCAAAAAAAATCATTACAGTAAGTATAAATCTCAAACTTTTAGTTATTTTTCTCTAAATGCAAATGAGAAATTTTGTTAATAAATGAAAAATTTGTTCTATATATAAAAAGTTTTTTCTTATGTAAGTTAAAAGTTGTTTTATTTAAAAAGTTTTTAATATTTGTTTTTTTATTATTTTTGGAAAGATTGCAAAACCAGTTATTAATGGGAAAAATAGCGAAGATAATTCAATTGGCATTCGGTCTTTTGATGAAATAATGCGTGAAAAGCAACTACGAAAACAAAATGGTTTGTACATTTTATTATTTTATCCTTAGTTTACTTTAGTTTTTAAAATCGTTTGTGCATCTTCATTTACTTTTCTTTCTTTTTTCTTTTTTCTTTTTTCCTCTTAACAATTTTGAACTATTGTTGCTTGCAAAAGTTTAAAACACCAAATTTTTTTCAATTTTTAATGTATAACTTTTCATCAGTTTTTTTAAATAAGTTAAAATATTTACCAAATGTTCTTTATATTCAATTTAAAATATTTAAATTTAAAGTACAAACCGTTAAAGTTTTTAAATGTAATAGTTATTAAAAAATTTTTTTTTTTAGACTTAAAAGTTTAGAAACAACTGAATTTTGATTAATATTTGATTCAAAAAAGCTGAAAAAAATAATAAAGTTTAGAAAATTACAATTTTGTATAAATAATTCAATAAAACAGTTTTATTAAAAAGTTAGTATTTAGTGGCATATCCATTTGCTTTTAAAACAGCATCACAACAAATTATTTAACTAAATAATGCCTTCAACATTTTATAATCAAAACAAATAAAAGGTGTTTGTTGCTTTTCTACCAACTAATTGCTGGTCAATGTACTTCCAAAGATGCTAAGTAGATATTGACTTAGATTTAGATCTAGGCATTGTGAAGGCCATTTAAGAACTCTGATTTTTTGTGATTTAAAATGATGGCAAGGGTTATTTGTGGAATGCCTTAATCATAATCCCTCAGTATTTTTAGTAGTACTTTACTAAAAAGGTCTTGCTTTAAATAGTTTTGCGCTGTCAAAATCTTTTTATAATGTGACTTATTCCTAGTTGAGAAACAAAGTTTTTTATTTTTTTTTTTATATTTTTTATTTTTACAAAAACTTAATTGATTTTTTGATACAACACGTATTTCTAAACTTTTGCCCAAAAAAGCTTTTTCAAAAAAAAAAAAATTAAAAAAAAACATTTTTGTGGTTTGTGTTTTGAGTTAAAATAATATAATTACATATTAATATACATATACTAAAGCTCATTTGGTAACAATTTCAGCTAATTAAAAAAAGCTTGTGGAAAGTTATATAAACTGTTTCTAAACTTTAGCACACTACTGTAGAGCAATTTGGTTGACAAAATATTAAAAATCAAAAGTTTTTTTTTAGAGAGCGGAAATAAAAGCTTAGGAGATAACCAAGCTAACCAAGTACCTAATGAGATTAAGCCCACCGAAAAATATAATTTAAATCAGACAACTAAACCAACTGAAAAAGTTACCTTAAGGCAGAAAAGTAAGCCAACAGAAAAAATTAATTCATTAAGTAAATCTTCTGAAAAAGTGAGATCAATATCAACAAGTAAATCCTCTGACAATCTGGGATCAATACCAACAAGTAAGTCCTCTGACAATCTAGCATCAATACCAACATGTAAGTCCTCTGACAATGTGGGATCAATACCATCAAGTAAGTCCTCTGATAAATTGGGATCAACAACTAAACATGATAATAAAATTGTAGTGATATCAGCAAGTAAACCTACTGAAAAAGTTACTTCAATGCTGACAAGTAAACCTACTGAGAAAGTGAGCCCAATTCCAAATAGTAAGTCTGTTGAAAAAGTGGCATCAATGTCGATTAGTAAGCTATCTGAAAAAGTGACCAATGTTAATCATTTAAATAAACAGTCAACTTTATCTGAAAATGATAAAGAAATTCATGTTAAATCAAATATTTCTTCACAAATAAAAAATTTGACAGAAAAGAATAATTCAACTTTAGAGCACATAAAGGAGGCATTGTAAGTTGTTTTTGATATCTTATTTTTTTTTTAATATCACTTATAAATATTTAAACACATTTTTAAAAATAGTTAAATTTGTTAGCTTTTTTAAAATGTATTTAATAAAAAATTATTTATGCATTTGTTCTTAAAGTGGTATCCTTGCATTATTTTTATTTACTTATATTTTATTTATAATAAATGCCTTTGATGAATTACTAGTATATTAAATAAAAAATCTAAAACGCATTGGAAAAAGGTTATTAATTAAAAAAAAAATTGCTGGCTCAGCAAAAAAATTAGCGTCTCATGAACATGCATGCACAATGCTAGTATAATATACTAGCATTGTGCAAAATCAGGGTTCCCACTCCTCCTTAAAAACCTTAAATATTCTTAAAAAATAAAAACCTCCTTAAATAACTTTAAATAAAGTTAGAATTTGACTGCACTCCTTAATTTCTCTCTTTTTTTTTTTTTTTAATTTTTTTTTTAAAATCATCTAGGAAATTTTATTTAAGTGAATGTATTATACTTATTAATAAATAAGAAAATATATTGTTCTTTGATAGTTTGCAAACCTATATTTTTATTAAATATATATTTATATATATATATATATATATATATATATATATATATATATATATATATATATATATATATATATATAAAGTAATATATTAATTTATAATAATTTTTTCTGTTTATATTTAAAATTTATTGAAAAAATAAGATTTTGTTTTTAATATAATCATTTTCTCCTGAATTCTTCTTATTTTTTCTTTCAAAAAATTCTTGTGCGCGACCAAATCTCCTTAAATATATAAAATATCTCCTTAAATCTCCTTATTGCTATATTTTTTTTATAAAAAATTTTACTCACTAAAAAACATATTTCAAAGTTTGTTTTAGTGCAAAATTGAAAGGTTTTTTGATAATTTTATTTGAAGAAATTTGAATGAAAAAATACATTAGGGGTCGTTCGCAAATTACGTCACGTTTTTTTTTTGGGGGGGGGGTCATAGATTTTGTGACAAGCTATGACAAGTAGCATTATTTATAATATATATTTTGTGACATGAAGAGGTCTAAAAAGTTGGCTTTTTGTGTGACATAATTTGCGAATGACCCCTTAATCTTTTTATTATTTCATATTATCCAAAATCATTTGAATGCTAGAATTCTTATTTTGTAAACCTCCATTATAAAAAAACTATTATCAATACTTAAAGCAAAAAATTTAAAACAAAATTTTAATAAGAAATCTTTTATTTGTGAATGTCTGTTTAATTTATTAGTTGCTTATAAAACATAGTTATTGTACTGTATTATGGCTGAGTTGATTTAAAAAATAGATTTCTAACCATTTATTTGTGTCGGTAGTTTTTCTAGCCTGTTTTTGATAGTAATAAACATAATTAGAAGGATTAAAATCCCAAAAACAAACATCTCTACTAGGCTATTGTAACAAAATGTTAGGGAAAATAAGGATTTTTACAAAAGTGACTTCATTAACTTCTAATACCAACCTGAATTATTTATGCATATCATATTTGCAGATATAATATTTTCCTGTTATGTTTTCTTGAAGAAGAATGAAAGAAGTATGATTTCTTGTATTGAACCAGTTGAATGATTTTCTCCTCCTCAGAGACTCCTCAGAGCTTTTTTTTTATTACTAATTTTTTTACTTTTCCATTATTTTATTCTACAGGACACAATCCTGTGGAGTAAATTAATTAAAAAACTTACCAAGTAAGATGTTTCTATTATTGAATGTGGGGTCAATAATCAATAACCTTTAAAGTCAACGATTTACAGACTGAGAAAATGTTTTAAAATTTAATTTAAAGTTTAAAAACAAGATAATTATTAGAAATTTTTAATTTGTGTGGTAATGTTTGCTACGCCTAAAAACATTTAATATTGATTGCCATTAAAACTGTATGTTATTGAGGTGTGCTATACTTCCATTGAATGTTTTTTGCATTCTTCTTGTTCATTGTATTCTTTGATAAAAGTTAAAACAGATGTTTTAACAATGCTTTATTGTTAAAACATCTGCTTTTCAAATTGATGAATATAAGATATAATAAAATAATGACAAATAAATATATTCTAATATAGATATTTCAGTTTGAGGAATTTCGTTAACAATTTTTAAATGGTTTTTTAGAGATGAAGTAAAAAGAAAACGTGACGAGTACTTACTTTCTGACGAAGAGTTTGAAAAGGAGATCAATGATTTGTCATCTAATGAAGGCGAAGGTTGCATAAACGACGATCTCGATGACGATGACCTTATAATAGAATTGTCTGAAATGATTGACGGCAACTAAGTCAAAATTGGAATGTTGATATTATTTGTTAAAGTGAAACTTTAACTTCGATTTAATTGTTTTATTTTTAATCCTACTGTTTCTTTTAATCTTTTAAGGAAATTTTTAAAGATTCAAATTTTTTAAAACAGTTATTTGAAATAAAACGCCGCTTTCACCTTGTAAATATTGTAATATTTTATCAAAAGAAATAAATGATTTGTTAATCAAAACCTATTAATACGAAATTTGTTTTCAATAAGCTAGAAATGAATAATCGTTTTTTCAATAAGCTAAAAATAAATAATTTCAGTAAGCTACAAATGTACAATTCATTTCTAGTTTACTATAATGGTGCAACTTGTTATATTTCATCTATATCTGTAAAAAAAAACTAAAATTGATAAAAACAAAATCAGCTTTATTTGAAGCAGCTAGATTTTTAAAGAATAAAGATCGCATCAGTGAAGTATATCCTATTCGAACCTTAATTCTACGAGAAAAGTTAATATATGTGAAATTTTATATATTCCAAATATTATATGTAAGCATGAAACCTACAGGTACGCTAGATACCAGCAATCAAATAGCGCGTAGATGCTATGGCTTTATTGATCTAGCAGAATCAATTTTTGGTATTAGGTTGCTTTAAGCTGGAGTAGATTATCTACTCCAGCTTAAAAGATGTCTTATATTATTTACTTCAGTTTAAAAACTATCTACTAGACAGGGTTGTGGAATCGGAGTTGCGACATTTTCAGCGGAGTCGGAGTCGCTAAACAAAATCGCGACTCCGACTCCAATAGTAAAACTTCTCGGTATTGCACGTGCATGTTCAAAACATTCAATTAACCTTACGTTCATACTAAACCTAAAAGAAAGTTTCATAAATTTGTTAAAAAACTTTTTTTTTAACTTATTGCGTAATATTTTTTAAAGAATTCAAAGAGTTCTTTCAAAAATTTTGTTTTGGAGTTGTAGTCAAAAAATTTCAACTACTGGAGTCGGAGTCGTTACTTTTTTTTTACGACTCCGCGCCCCTGCTACTAGATAGGTTTTTTTATAAAAAAAAGAATCAACTCAAAAATAAAAAAGTTTTAAGTCAATTAATAGCTATCTTTTTAGAAAAATAAGTTTGAAAAACCAACATAAATCAACCACTTTAAAGACGCAACTTTTTGTATAATTACAAAGAATGCGTCATTTAAAATAAGTAGATGTAAACGAAACTATCACTATGTTTCCAAACAAGTCAGGGTTAGGGTTACAAAACAAGTTTTAAATTTTAACGAAAAGTCTTATCCTAATTTAAACTATTTTAACGAAATTAATAAACCAGAATTTGAATGCAAATATTTTTATCCAAATGAAGTTTTCTAAAATTTGATAACATTAATAGTTATTTGAACGTTGTCCATATTAATATAAGGAGTTTAAAAGAGAATTTTGAAAATTTTTTAAATGTCATTTGCGAAACTGATAATTCTTTTAATTTAATTTGCGTAACTGAAACGTGGTCTTCTAACGAGGATTTTGAGAATAATTCAAACCTCCAACTCCCAGGTTTTAATGCAATTACCTTAGAGCGAAATATAAATAAGCGTGGAGGAGGAGTACTTTTTTATGTTAGAAATAGTCTTTTGTATAATGTTAGACGCGATATGAGTGTTTCTGATGAAAAAAATGAGATTTTAACTATTGAAATTATAACAAAAAATCAAAAAACCTGCTAATACGCTGTTGTTATAGGCCTCCAACTGGAAGAACTGAAGACCTCAGCAATTTTTTACAAAAAAAATATTCTAGAAAAAACTAATCTCGAAAATAAAAAAAATTACTTGATTGGCAATTTTAATTTAGATTGTTTTGATTATTACGAAAATCAAAATACTAGAAAATTTTACAACAATTTAATTGAAACAGGAACAATACCAATAATAAATCGACCAACAAGAATTACAAATTATTCATCCACTTTAATTGATAATATCTTAACCACTGATTTTTTTAATATATCGCTTAAAAAAGGAATAATTAAAACAGATGTATCTGATCATTTTCCTATATTTTTTTCAGTAAATGCAAAAAAGTGTCACCATAAAAAAGAGGTTGTTCAACAATATTAATTTAAACTCCTTCAAAGAACATTTGTTGCTAATAAATTGGGAACATTTAAACTTTAATAATAATATAAACACAATTTACAACACTTTTTTTAAAACGTTTTATAAAATCTATGATACAAATTTTCCTATGTGTGAAACAGTTGTAAAAACAAATATCATGTCCCTGGATTACAAAAAGTCTTAAAAAATCCTCGAAAATAAAACAAAAGCTATATATTAAATATTTAAAATCAAAATCAGTAAAACATAAAAATAACTACATCACCTATAAAACCTTATTTGAAAAACTTCGCAAAAAAAAAAATACTACTCCTACTTGATCAATAAACATAAAAACAATTCGAAACAAATCTGGAAAATAATGAAAGAAATTACATGAAAACTTGAAACAAATACAAATTCTCTGCCACATGAAATAAAAATTGACAACAAAATAATTAACTACTCAAACTATATTGCAGCTGAATTTAACAAATTTTTTACAACAATTGGAACTAAACTAGCAAACAGTATTCCGTATACCGACGATAAATCAGCTGAATTCCAAACATCAACTTCATCAAGTTTTCACTTTACTGAGCTAACTTATGATGAATTTGAAATTGCCTTTAGTTCATTAAAAAGAAATGAAACAACTGGGTATGATGATATTAATCTGAATATTATAATAGACTTTTGTGATGTTATAAAACACATTATTTTCAAAATCTTTAGAGCACCCATCAGTCAAGGAATGTTTCCAGACTGTCTAAAAATAGCAAAAGTATTTCCTGTCTTCAAGACAGGAGATCATACAAGCATAAATAATTATCGCCCTATTTCAGTTCTTTCAGTCTTTTCAAAAATACTAAAAAAAATAATGTTCAATCGAATTTACGACCATCTAATTAATAATAAATCTTTATACGAAAACCAATTTGGTTTAAAAAAAAACAATTCAACAGAACACGCTATTCTCTAACTTACGCGCGACATCTCAGAATCTTTAAAAAAATCTCATTTCACATTAGGAGTATTTATTGATTTATCTAAAGCTTTTGATACCGTCAACCATCAAATTCTAATAAAAAAATTATTATCATTTGGAATAAAAGATAACACCCTCAATTGGTTAAAAAGCTATCTTACAAATCGTAACCAATATGTTTATAATAAAGAATCCTCGTCTCAAGTGTTAATGAATATAACGTGTGGTGTTCTACAAGGCTCCATACTTGGACCTCTTCTCTTTATAATATATCTAAATGACCTTCATAAAACTTCAAGCCTAACAAAAATAATCTTTGCAGACGACACAAATTCATTTCTGTCATGAAAATATTAATATTCTTTTCAACAACATGACAAATAAATTAAAAAAAGTTTCTGATTGGTTCAAAATAAATAGGTTATCTCTCAACACAGCTAAAACTAAATGGACACTTTTTTAACCACTCTATAAAAAACATAGAATACCACATTTGTTACCTGAGCGATATATTGACAATGTAATGATAAAAAGAGAAAAAGTAACAAAGTTTCTAGGAATCTATATTGATGAAAATTTAACATGGAAACATCACATTAACATGATCTCTTCTAGAGTTTCCAAATGTATCGGTATTCTTTATAAAGCTAGAAACATACTAAATAAACGGCAGCTGACTTAATTGTACTATTCATTTGTTCACTGTCATATAAACTATGCAAATATTATATGGGCAAGCACTCAAGAGACAAAACTTAAAACTCTTTTTAATCATCAGAAACACGCAGCTCGCGCAATTAATTTTAAAAATCGTCTTACTCACTCTGCGCCACTTCTTAAAGATATGAAAGCTTTGAATGTTTATCAACTTAATATTTTTAATATTTTATGCTTTATGTTCAAGTGTAAAGAAAATTTCTCTCCACAGGTATTTCAATATCTTTATTCTTTAAAACCGAAACACAAATATAATTTACGAATTGACAACAATCTTAATGCTCCTTTTTGCAAAACTAAATACGACGAATTTTGTGTGTCCTATCGTGGACCTCTTCTTTGGAACAAAGTAGTTTTACCTAATTTTGACTTTTCAATCAAACTAAACTACTCCTCATTCAAAACCAAAATTAAAGAAATTATCTTTTCAATTGAAAACAAATTTATCTATTTTTGAGTTTTTATCAATTTATTGCTGATATATTATACTTTATTGTATTATGTTTTACTATTTAAGAATATTTCCATGAGTTCTTTGCAAACTTATGTATTTAATGGTTTGTATTTTATTACTTTTTATTACTGTGTTTTGTTAAACTTCATATTATTTTTGTTATTTTACGAATTTTTATAACTTCATTATAATATTACGTATTTATATTTTACTAGCTGTCATGATCCGTAAAATACGGGTCTTAAGGATATTGATGCACACTTTATCCGCGTGGTTACAGTTCATAAGAACTATTATCCGGTTTATAACGCAAGAAAATCTCAATCAAATGAAAACATCTAAATGATAACTTTTAATGTCCTAGATACGAAGATTAAACTTATTGATTGCGTAAACACCAACTTTAACATAAATGGCATTTGCGAGACACTTCTTGCAACGAAAAAACATAGTTTTGAAATTTGTGAACGATTTTTTTTCTCTCGTTAGCAAAGTTGGTTCTGTGTCAAAATGCGAGGATCAAACTTTTGATTAATATCTTTACATATGTTGTCTATATACAATATCTATAAAACTTTATAAGTATTATAAGTATTAAAAATTAAAGATTCAAAATTATATAAAAATTGTTTTTAACGGATATAAATGCAAAAGATTAGAAATCAGTATTATGCTAATATTAAATAGTTTAACTTTTAATTATTTTTAGAAACAATAAATTTTATAAAATAATTTAGTGTACATATAAAATTAAAATCTTTAATTATGTTCTAAATAAAAATATACTTTTTAAGCCCCTTTACCATTT